AACCTCAGATATGCAGATGATACCACTCTCATGGCAGAAAGTGAAGGAGGAGAGTGCAAAAGTTGGCTTGAAACTCAACATTAAGAAAACTAAGATCATGGCATCCGGTCCTCTCACTTCCAGGCAAAAAGATGGGGAAGAAATGGAGGTAGTGACAGATTTTATTTTCCTGGACTCCAAGATCACCACAGATGGGGACTGCAGCCAAGAAATTAAAAGACACTTGCTCCTGGGGAGGAAAGCCGAAGGATTGAGGCCTTTGAATTGTGATGCTGGAGGAGACTCCTGCGAGTCCCTTGGACCGCAAGGCAATCAAACCAGTCAGTCCTAGAGATCAACCCTGACTGCTCTTTAGAAGGCCAGATACTGAAGATGGAACTCAAATACTTTGGCCACCTAATGAGAGGGAAGGACTCACTGGAGAAGAGCCTAATGCTGGGAACAATTGATGGCAAAAGAAGAAGAGGACGGCAGAGAATGAGGTGGCTAGATGGAGTCACTGTGAAGCAGTGGGTGTGAGCTTAAGTGGACTCCGGGGGATGGTGGAGGACAGGAAGGTCTGGAGGAATGTTGTCCATGGGGTTGGGATGGGTTGGACACGACTTCACAACTAACAACAACAACAATGTATTGGTCAAGAGTTAAAACCAATTTCTAGTGATATAGGGCCGTATGACCACTGGAGGGCGGTATATGGCTAAAGACAAAGCATGAACTATTGTTGGAAAGAAAAAAAGGAAAGCAGGAAAAGTACATCTGTTTTGTATGGTATGAGTTTTTAGTTCGTTCCTTTAAATAACAGTGCATTTGTGGAATGGGTGCCTGAGTAGGATAATGAACTATGAGGGCAATTAACTGAAGCTCAGTCTAGAGTTCCAGACAAGTTATAGGTTGGGTTAGTGGGTGCTTTTTCTGTTCTACTGAATATGGTTCAACACGTTCTGGAAAAGGTTGCAATCAGAGGGTCCTGGATGCATCATTTGCGATACAGTTGACCTCAGGGACTCAGAGCATCTTTCATGAGCTGATTTTACCAGCCACAACCCTGTCTGGACAGAACATAAGGCAAAACATAACTGCTTCCTCTTAAGCGGTTGTATTTCTGCACTTGTCCATACTCTTCCTATCCATTCCTTTAAAGAAGATGCATTGAAAACATTCCTTTTTGTAGTTAAGCTCTTAGGAGTAATTAACCAATTCCACATGATTGCCTCCATCTTTTTCATCTAAATATCCCAAATAAGAGCTGACTGATCATTATGGGAGCAATCCTACGGCAGCTAGACAGTATTCTCTGGCAGAGTTCTGGCCTCAGAGGAAGGGGCCTGAGCATAGGTCGCCCTTTCCTCCGCAAGCCCTGTGCAGAATCCTCCAGAATGGCATCCTTTCTTGAGGTCAGAACTCCAATGCAAAGGCAAGGAACAGGGGTGGGGAGTGTGGTGGCCAGCAAGGAAAGAAAGACTGTGGAGCCAGTAGCCTCTCAGCCTGATTGCATCCTGGGGTGGGGGGATGAGCTCTCAGGACCACCTAGCAAATTCCTATTCAAGAAGGTGAAGAAGCAAAAATAATCCCCCACTGTTCCTCTCTACCTACAAGCAAAAGCACAGCAGTGCTTTGGATGGAGAAGATGGGGAGAATTTCATGACCATCATTTGGACCCCT